ATAGCTCTATGTATTTTCTGATATGAGTTGCTGCTCCGCGTCACCAGGCTCGGGCGGGAACAATTGCTGATTGCCATAGTACCGGTATTTTTGCTGATATGTATTGCTGTCCCGCGTCACCAGGCTCGGGCGGGAACAATCTCTGTAATTTTTGCTGAATAGCTAAACTTTGCCTGAAACGCAATGTTAGATTTACTTGCAGTTCTGCGTCACCAGCTTCGGGCGGGAACAACCTGAACTGTGTCAAGTTCAATAAACGGCTGCTCAGGCCAATCGACACAAAAGTTAGAATGCGAGTGTCCACCTGTCCCTGAGTTCAGTTCTCTAGTCCTGTGCGTGCGGGGATAAATACCTGCACGATTTGAGACTTGGACTATTGAAAAATTGATTTCTTGAAAAACTTACATTTTTGGAGTTTTGCTTATGTTGGAATTCTTAGGGGAAAACATCGGAATGCAGGAAATCAGACAAGGTGAAATAAGTAGAAATATTCTTTTTCAAAGTTACGGGAAGGGCAAGAAAAAGACTCGACATCTGTCCTACTAAATGCCCAAATTTCTGAATACCTGCATGATTTGAGTCTTCGACTATTATGGAATTAATCAATAATTAGACTTTTGGAGCTCAGTTATGTTGGAATTTATAGGGGAAAACATTGGAATTTAGCAAATGAGAGCGGGTGAAATATGTACGATTTTAGTTAAATGTATGGCAACAAAAAGACTCCATATATGTCTAACTAAATTGTCCAATTTCAAAATACCTGCTCGATTTGTGTCTTGTACTATTGGAGAATTCTTTAAAAATTTGGATTTTTGGATTTCAGTTGAAATGGAACAGATGGGGGGAAACATCAGAATGCACCAAATTACACAGGTACACAGGGTGAATGTACGTTTTTATCTGTTAAAAGAATATCGGGCTAAAAAAAGATCCTGTATCTGTCAAACTAAATAGCCAAATTTCTAAAAACCTGCACGATTTAAGTTGTGATTTCGCTTGTGTTGGAAATTGATAGTAAAAAGCATCGGAATGGAGCAAATGAAATAGGTGAAGTAAGTACGACATTATCAGTAAAGTTAAGGGTAGGCCCACAAAAGATCCCATATCTGTCTAACTAAATCGCCAAATTTCTAAATACTTGCACGATTAAGTGTTCTACTATTGAAGAATTGATTTTTGAAGATTTTAGATTTAAGGAGCTTCACAGTTATTTTGGAATTTATAGTCGAAAACATCGGCCTGCAGCAAATGAGACAGGGTGAAATATGTATT